GGGGCTGGAGTATGGAGTGAAGGTTGTCATGAGATCTCAATGGGCCGATTCCTGTATTCCTGAAACTCAGTAGTCAAAATTATGTTCCATTTTCCTAGCAAAACTGTGGCTATGTAGACTTTCTCTTCTTTGATATGTTTTTTCCATATTCTCATTCCTTATAATTTCTTCCTTATGATGATGTTAGATAATAATAAATGAAAACAGTAGTAAATGAAAACTATCTCAGACACTCTTAGCATGAGACCACAAAGCTTGAAAGAAAATTAAATTGGTATTTAATGTCTTTCTATATGATTTTTGTTATTTCACTTGGATTGCTAAGGGAAGTTATCATCATAGCTTTAAGAACGTATTGTTACATGTGTTTTTCCTGCATTTTGAAACATACTGTCCTAGAGTAAACAGAATTTATTTGCAAATATAAAAGTTACATAATTTTACAAAGCTTTTAGTTTTGAGAAGATATATGCTGGCATACGGAGACTTTTGCATTTTTTAGCACTATCAGTAGTTTTTCCCAGAAGCCACAATGATCTCTTCAGTCACGTAAAATCGTTTTGAGGATTTTTGGATAGTACGCATGTCTATAAAACAGCTTATACTAACGTGCTTCTGTTTCAAATGTAAATAACTGTATTTTGTTTCATAATAAACATAAACATAAACATTTCATATTTAACATTGCTATTTGTTCAGCAATTTCAATTAAATTGTAATATATTTTAAATGGTCCTTCATATGTGATTAGTGGTGCATATAAGGTGAAATAATTTTGAGTTTGCACTGTGCCAGAGGAATCTAGTATGTGCCAAAATACTGAACAACTTTGTTAATTGTATAATTACTTAACTGATTTCGATACTGAATATAGAATGTAAGAATTAGGAAAACCTGACTGTTTATATTCTTTTTAGCATTTCACTATTCTTTCCTAATAGACATTTTAAATGGTAACAGTGTACATGTCATATTCTAATAGTTAAAAGTCTGTGAAAAAGATGTGTATGTATTGAGCATTATTTTTATAATCCTTGTATTATGAAGTAAATGGCATATTGATTCGAATATCTGTGTTCATTGTAATCCCAGGAATAAGCACCATAATATTGATTTAAAGGAATGTATTTGAATCATTTCAGAAGCATAAACACATGGGACTGTTGCCACACTCTTGTAGCAAAGTGATGTCAAAAACAGGACAAAAAAGAATGATGAGAAGTACTGTAGGACTGTAGCATTGCAGGAGAGGATCAGTCCTCAAGACTTCAGCTCTTCTGTTTAGGCGTTCAGGCATGACTATTTCTGTGTGCTTTGTAGTACTTCTTCAGTTAAGGAGCAGGAATACACATAGTCGTGGTATCTGTGTGGAGGAGCAACATACAGTAGCAGTAAGAGGACTGGAGGAGTTCTGCAGTCTTTCTCAAGTTTAAATTCCTGACTAATGGCATGCTTTATAATACTGTGTCACTCTGAAATGGACGTAATTAATTACACATGTAGAACTACTCTGCTCTGTTGTAAGTGAAGCAACAATCAAGGACAGAAAAGTAGAACGCCCAGGATTGTAATACAGCTTTATTGCAAGAGATTACAAAAATTCATTGAGTAACTTACAAACCCCAGTTATCTCCAGAGATCAGGGAACGGCTACTTCTATTCCAGAGAGGAGTTCCTGTTTTTTCTCCTGTTCACTTACCTGCAGAGATTAGGGAATGGTACATTAATAGAGTTACAAAATACCTCACTTTGCTAACCATTACCATTGTGCATTCTGCGAGCAGGTTTCTTACGTATGGCCAGCAGGAGCAGGGATGTAATTCTCCCCCGTACTCGATGCTGGTGAGGCCTCATTTCAAGTACTGTGTGCAGTTCTGGGCACCTCACTTCAGAAAGGATATTGAGGTGCTGGAGCGGGTCCAGAGGAGAGCAACGAGGCTGGGGAAGGGACTAGAGGGAAAGTCCTGTGAGCAGAGACTGAGGGAGCTGGGGGTGTTTAGCCTGGAGAAGAGGAGACTCGGGGGGACCTCATCACTCTCTACAACCGCCTGAAGGGAGGGTGTAGTCAGGTTGGGGTCAGACTCTTCTCCTGGGCAACTAGTGACAGGACGAGAGGGCACGGCCTGAAACTGCATCAGGGGAGGTTTAGGTTGGGTCTCAGGCAGCCCTTCCTCACAGAGAGGGTGATCAGGCACTGGGATGCCCTGCCCAGGGAAGTGGTGGAGTCACCGTCCCTGGAGGTGTTTAAGGAGAGGCTGGATGTGGCACTTAGTGCCATGGTCTAGCTGTGATGGTGTTGGGACATAGGCTGGACTTGATGATCTTAGAGGTCTTTCCCACCCTCAGTGTTTCTGTGCTTCTGTATCATGGTGGACTGGGGAGCGTTATCCCACAGAAATGATTAGTAGGAAATTATTACTAGTAACACAGCACATAAATAATTAGAAACATGAATAGCTGCTGGAAAACCCTATCAAATGAAATTACAATGTATTTTCTCTCTCTTGAATCATTCAGATCAAGGCTGGGTGATTTAGTGATGTACTTGAGTCCTATAATTTAAATACATGAGGAACTTAGCAAAATTCTGCGAGTTGCCCTTTGAAACTTAGACGCATGGTGGGTTTGCATCTTGGACATTGAGATGCTTAAGTTACCTCCACAGAAGGAAATATGTCTGTGTTACAGCCATTCACTGACTGAAGCGTTGGGTAGAGAGCCAGCTTAGGGGTGGTGCCACAAGAACACACCTGTACAGCTTTTGGACTTGGTGTGACTTAATGTGACAGTGTGTGTATGAACTTGCAAGCATATATCTGTGGTAAACACAGGGTCTCGGTACTGTGTGGTAGGAGGCTTTCTTTCTGTGAGTTGATGATCTTTATCGGCCTTAAAAACTGATGAATTTACATATGAAAGCCTAAGAACTTGGAGAAAGAGGGAACCTACAGGAAGTCCGGAGAGGGGCTTTTTACAAGTGTCCAGCAACAGGACAAGGGGAAATGGATTTAAATTGAAAGAGAATAGGTTTAGATTGGATCTTAGGAAGAAATTTTTCAGTACAAGGGTGGCAAGACTCTAGAATAGATTGCCCAGAGAGGTTGTAGATGCTTCCTCTGTGGAGGTGTTCAAGGCCAGGCTGGATGAGGCCTTGAACAACCTGGGCTAGTTAAGGGTATCCCTGCCCATGGGAGCGGGGTTGGATTAAATTATCTCTAAGGTCCCTTCCAACCTAAGACATTCTGTGATCTTTCTGCACTGGTGAAATCAGATCTGGTCATGAGAAAATTCGAACAGATTATGAGCAAAGTTTTGGATGAGTCGTGTTTATAACTGAAGTAATTTTAAGATTGAGCGGTGCCTAGGATGTCCAACAAGTAGTTCCAAGTCAGGAGAGAGAGGGGGCTGATTGAAACAAGAACCTTTTGGAGCAAAAGGTAGAAATAAATTTTATGCAAGACACAAAGATTTCTTACTTATTTAAATGAGAGAAATTTAAATGTATTTAAAAGAGAAAATACAAAGAAATAGATAAAAAGGACAGGGCACCAGGACTAGTCTAAAGTATAAGGAGATAACTGAGCTGGCATTTTATTTCTCTGCAGCAGAAAAACGTAATTAATATAATTATTCTAGGACTTAAGTGGAATCTGAACAGGTTAGAATCAAAGCTGTGTGTTTTTGAAGTAAAAATATGCCTAAAGGAACTGACTGTGATGGCTTCATTTCTCTTTGTCTACCCTGATACTAGGCAATATCTGATAAAGCCTATTATTGTGAAAAGTTTACCTGCAATTTGGAAGAGGCTGTACATGAGCTTTCACTTAATTGGAAATTACACAGCAGTGCTAAGCCTGCAGAACACACACCTGAGGATTAATCGAAACTGTTAGTACTTCAAAAATGTTCTGGGCAGTTTAACGACCATCAACAATATTTCCAACTTTTTAGATCAGTATATTGCTCAGATCTAATGTTACAATAAATAATAAGCTTCTAGCCAACAGTCACCAAAACAGCTCGTTCCTCTCCATTATAATAATGCAGAAACATAAATGTGCCCTAAACTTTTTCAAAAAATGAGATTTCTTTGCTTGAGCAAAGGTAGCTGTCTAAGTTGATTGGACTGAGTTTTGTAGATGAATACTTTACTGTGTAATATGTGAGTGTACTTCATGGAACACAGCTCATCTTGAGCTCCAAGCAGACATTCTGCTGCTGTGCTAGGCCACAGTACAGTATGAAGGATAAGAGATATAATCATACTAAAGCCTAATTTTGATCACAGTGTGAAAACTAGTTTAAAATGTCATTTAAAAATAAATGCAAATCAAATTAAACACTTCCCTAGTATCATGAGTTCTCTGGTATTGTAAGTCTTTGAATTTACATGACAAGTTTATTAAGCTTTCTTAGTCCAGCCTTAGAATTGATATACACAGTCCTACTGAGATGTTGTGGGGAATGTAGAAAAGATGATTATAGATAGTCTTTGATGTTGCTGCGTCAGGTGTATTATTGCTTCTTGTAGTAGACAAGCTTACACATATGTGGTTCTTACTTTTTTTCTAGGCTATTAAAAAGTGGAGCAGAGAAACAAAAGTTACTGTAATAAGTATCAACCATGTAGTTTGAGTTAAATGCACATACTCTGTTAACATGTGTCAAAGCATTATATTTACATCTCAATCAAAATAATCAGTGACATAAATGAATAACTGTGAATTCTTGTTTTCCATTTCAGGTCAAGAGATGGAGAACAGAATTTCAGTTTCCATTTCTAAAAATATTATGATGGATACTTGAATTAATCTGTCAGATATTGGTTATAAATAATGGTTTAAAATATTGTGTAAAGCACCATGAATGATTTTACAAATCCCTCTATTTATTGTGTGTGTCTCTGTTTTTAAGGCATTTCAAGTCTTCAGGTGCTTTCTGAGATAACCGTATCGTGTGTGTTACTTGTTAGATCTGACAGGATTCGTGTTTTTTTTCAGGAGACGCTGATAGATTGGTGTGATGAAAAGGAACTTAATTTGATTTTAACAACTGGAGGAACAGGGTTTGCACCACGGGATGTCACTCCAGAGGTGAGATAGTGCTGGAATAAGAAAAATCTGCCCTTTGATGTAGAAACGTGTGAGTCTGGGGAAGGGGGTGATATTTTCTTGAAATTTCCTCTATAATTTTACTTCACAGCATCTGTGGACAGGTCAAGTGATATGCAGCTTGGAAGCAGAAAAAGCAGTAGGGAATATAACACAAGAGAATTACTCTTTCATCTGACCCAAAGCGATTTCCAAACTGAAACATGGCATAGTGTAATGGATTTCCAGTCCCCTCGCAAAACAAAAATCTAATGGCTTTTTGGCATAATTTTCCTTAGCACTGCAGTACAATGCTGCTAAGCAAAAACTTGTGTGGCTCTTGGTGTGTCCTGCACAAGAAAATGTGGGATAAGATAGAAATCCTTTAATTGCCCCTTGCAGGCTACTGCCTTGACAGCTACGATGTTACTGGTTAGAGTGTGAGGCAGATAGTAGCGGGGAAGAAAATTCTTGCAAAGCTGCTATTGCTTTGCTTGAGACCACATTGTCCAAAAAAAAAGGTAAACAGCCACAGGAGTCAAGGTAACCTGCAGCAGTAAATGTTGCACAGGAAATCTGGTTGCATTCCACTTGTAAGGAGCTAAGGTAAGAAAAAAACCAATCAAACACCGCAAAGGGAAACTTTTAACCTCATACCCTCATGGCCATGACTTGTCATGCGAAACAACTGTGTGTGATTGCTCTTGAAGTATTGTGGTATTTATGGTGTCAAATTAGATTAATATGAACTTTTAAAATAACATACATTTTTTGGTTTGCTTATGTTCACTAAAGGGCAGAATGAAGATTGAGTGCCTGAAGTGTTTATTTCCATAGTTTAATGTATTTAGATATCTCTTAAGTACTCATATAAGTTTTCAATTGCATAGACTTTTCATCTTAGAGTTGATTTGGGTTCATTATAGCATGCTTTTTACTTTACGAATGTGTTCTGTCAACCATGGCTGCAGCTTAACATTTTTACATTAGGAGTCTAAAAATATTTTTTAATTTGTTGTATAACATCTGTGTAGCTAAGCAAATATGTAAAGAAAATGCTCCTGTACATTACTTCTGCTGTTTTTAGATTATATACTAGAAACCTTGAGTAACTAAAACCTAAGGGTCTCTGTATGTGGAGATGGGAACAGTAAAAGATGACCGCAGCGTGCTAGCTGGGGAAACAGAGTTTGCAAATGATTCACTGTGCTAAAGCAACACAAAAGTAAAAAGTGTATTGGCTGAATTCGTCTCTTATTTGCAAACTAACTTAATGGTTTTGAAGGTTTTATTCCCAGCACTGTGTCAAAGGAGGGCTGAATTTTGTCTTCAGTTTTCCTGATTTATTACCTTTATGCAGGGTTGAGCCTAGGCAGTAGTGCCCGAGGAGGCATTGCAGCTGGTGCCAAAAATTATACGCAGATACTCAAGCCGCATTTGGGACAAAAAAAGTAAATAAATGAGAACTCTGCACATAAGCACCTATTTTTTTCCTTACATCGCTTCATTGCTGTTACTCTAATTAAGACAAGTGTTGATGATTTGTTTTATTTGTTTTGATGTTACAGCGAGATGTTTTAAATATGAGTTGTTGAAGAGTCTCTAGAGTATATTACAAAAACATTGATATAAAAATTAATGACTTGTATTGAAGAAAGCCTTTTTTTTGAATGTAATAGGTATGTAAGACTTTGGTTGATTGTAACAGAACTAGGTGTTCTAACTGTCAAATTGTTCCCATACTTTAGAAGAATTTATGTAGGATATAAGTTGGATTAACTTGCCAGACCAAACTTAAATCATGGTGGAGAAATTGATTCTAAGGTTTTATGACAAAGTGGCAACAATAAAGTGTGCTCTTATGATAGGGTTTATTAGATTGGTCATTCAAACACATATTTTCAAGGGAAGAAAATTAGTTTGACTTACCAGTATGTGTCATTACAAAAACGTATGAAGAAGCATAAGCTTTAGCCCCGTATTTTATGTCTTGGTTCAGTGAGAGAGCCAGTTCAAAATGGAAAATTCATTACGTCAACATGAAATGTCCAATAGCAAGCCTTCAGGAAAGCTTGCGTTGGTGTAGGAAGTGGTGTTTGCCCATGGTGCTCTCCTCTCATTACTGAACTGATAATGAAAAACTGGTAATAACTGAATCTGATATTGGAGGGTGTTTTAGCATTTTTCTGAGAGTAGAGAGAGTAGTCCCTCAGGTCATATTTCAACTGGAGTGATTCAGGCCTGCCTCTCCTTAATCCTCCTGTATTTCTGATTAAAAAGCACATTTTTATACTTTCTTTTCTAGGCATAGATACGGAACGATCATTGTACTGTACAAGTTACAGCAAATTCCTGAGAGTATTTACAGCCCAAAGAATTAATGTTAATTGAATTTTGTAATTATTGATTACATTGAAATTAAGAGCCTGGCATAATCTTATCTATTAAAAAGAACTTTTTGAAATTTCAGAAATAGATGACTAAGTTTCAAAAAAACCTGATTTCATCACTCACTTTGCCTTTTGAACACTGTATCAGAATCTTACCAGGTTACTGCAGTTGTTTCAATGATGTGTAATGATTTTATTGTATAATGGGGTAGATTATTTTAAGTGTATTTGCAATATCTGATTTTTCCTTACCTATCTGTGGTCCCTAAATTTATAGACTCAGCCTAGTCAGTGGGTGGGGAGAAGCTTTTACTGTCATTCACACTTTGAGAGGTGAAGGGCAATTAAAGCAGTTGTCTCTGCAACTAGAAGTGATTAAATACATGAGGATATTTTAAAAACAAAATTCACCCAGTGGATGAATTTGAAGGAAACTATATTGTAGATGTTATTAGTGAATGCTGTAATTCTTCATCTATTATGGCAGTTGTTGGTAGTTTGCATTTGGACTAAAGCCATAGTGTAGACTTGATTTCGTAGATATAACCACATTTTTTTACAATCTTATTTTGCCTGTAATATATGGAGGTGATCTTTAATTTCATACTGGAAATACACAGTTTGCTGGTGGATTAAAAAGTGTTGCTGGACAGGTATCAGGGCTTTACATATGGCCCCAGTTAAATTCTTTAGGGAACTTTTTTTTCCAGGTACAGACATTTTTTCCTTGGAACTGCAATTCTTGATTGGTAGACAGTTACAATTCTTAAAGAATGTTAATCATAATATATGTTAACTTTTGTGAAAAAAAATAAATGTGGCAACATTTTAATTGATTACTAGGTACCCTTCTGAGATAGAAATGTATTTTCTTTGTTGCTGTTGGTTGATACAAAGGAGAAAGGATAAATCTCTTGTATACAGGTGCTCTGCGCAGTTTTCTGTCTTCTGTCTTCTCTACTTTTACATTTACTCTTTTGCAAAATTGTGCATCCAAAAAATTCACTTGTCTGCCCTCTAACAGAGTCCTCTAGCTGTTTTCTTATCCTTTGTTTCTAATGTGGCTCCCAAGACTTGCTTCGAGACTAACTTTATGTACTTAGATAATAGCAATAGATATGAACTTATCCTGCCTCAGCTGATACTAGACATCCTTGAGCCCTATCACTCTGTGTATTCACAAATAGTTCAGCCACTCTGCAGATAATTGCCAGCCCTGAAATTTTAAGATAAGACTTTAGAAGAAGCGGAAAAGAGCTCTCTTCCATCATGTAAAACCAGACAGATGCTTGTTTACAGTCTTTCTCCTTTTCCGGTGCTCTGGAAAAATGATAAATAGTCCTTTTGATTCTTGCTGGTTTTATTCTTTGATACTTATAGACTGCTTTTAAATGTATTTAGACAAATGCTTGTAATCATTTAATCTGACAATACATGCATATTTGTGTATTGCTTCATGAAAATTCTCTAGTCCCTGAAAACAAATTATTGTTCTCTGGAACCCTCTCTTATTTGTTAGCATTTTTCTGAAAAAAGCATGCTCAGATTGAACAAAATACTCCAAACCTAGCCATACAAAAGCCATATGTGGAGAGAAGAAAGACTCTGTTCTGCTCTGATATCAAGTCTTTGTACATTCAGTTCAAAATTGCACCAGTATTCTTCTTACCATTACCAATTGCAAATTTTCTATCCCTAAGGTATCTTTCCAAGTTTCTACTTAAGATTCAGCGTGCATTTTTCCCCAAACTCCATTTTATTTCCACAGACTATTTCAATGTCTGTACCCTTCCATTTCTCTGTCCCAAGTAGTGTTGGCAGCCCTCCTTAATCTCTGTTATTTGTAATTTTCATGTCTTCTGTCTCGTGGTTTGCTTCTGCATTTGTTAATGACATAAGATGCTTGTGGCACAACAGGGTATATTATGTTACAGACATACTCTCACAGCAGCACGTGTTTCACCCAGGTTAAGCGAAATACACTGAGACATTTCAGATAATAACTTCTGTTGAACAGGCAACAATTTAAACTAGAAGGAATATGTAGGTTTTTTCATCCTCACTTATTCAAATGGTGCCTTTCCAGAGCAACAGAAATTCTGGTGTTCTTTGTTGTGGATATGGGAGTATTTCTGTTCTTCGGCAGTATTCAACTCTTCTTAGTGTCGTACCAAGAACATCTTAATATTGTCATTGGGCCGAAGGAAACTCATATTCTTTTAACAAACTGTCACCTCAGGATGGCTCCGTAGTGAGGCGGAATGAAGTCATCTCACAGGGGACATCAGTCATTTTGTGGTACAAATACTATGAAATTGTACAACCTCTAATTACCCAGGCTGTTGTTTCAGTTTTTCACCCTTCGGTATTCAAGGTACACTCCACTTTAATAACCTTTTCCAGTATTTGGTTTTGTAATCTATTTTAAGACTGTAGTTTTCCATGTCTCTTAATCGAGGTCTCGCTCCCTGTTAAACTGGATTTCTGTGTAGAGCTGTTGTACAACGCAGTGTGCTGTGTGCATGTGATGTCTGATTCTGTAACTTGCCATCAGACCTTTTGAGAACTATCATTCTCCATATTTCTTAGAAAATTATGTTTCCAACCCAGCTT